ACATTTCACCCCAGGTACTTTCTGGATTTTACTGAATCCACTTTGCAGTGAGACAGTGCGAAAGCCCATATTCTTATCTTCAGGTAACGTAGAGTACATGTCAGATTAAATAATACTACTTCATGGATAGTATCTAGGTGTTACTTTATTGTATTTCTCGTACCATGTCTGTTGGTTGTGCTGCTCTTTTTCCATTTCTTTGCAGGTGATGAAGCAGACTGAAAATGTTTTATCATTGTCTCCCTTTTATCTCCTCTTTCTTTCATCTTTTCTCCTTTTTTTCTGTTTTTCCTCTTCTTACATTGCAGTGTCCATATAATCTGTAAAACTCCCTGCATAATTATAATAAAGCAATTTATATGCATGAAACAAGCGGCACACTATGGCAATAGCCGTACTGCTCCACTTGTGAAAGTAAAATCTGTTGGGCTCTTATTGACATCAAGACAATTATTTTTATTGCCACATTGCCAGACAGGACACTTTAAAAAAAATAAAATAATAATAATAATATAATAATAAAAAGAAACAGAGTGATCTCCTGAAAAGTAACAGTGCATAAAATAATAAGTCTAAAGGTAAAGTAACAATTCCCCCAAGATGGTATTGATATCATCTTTTTGATACCAGCTTGGTGTTGATATTATTGATATTTAAGATGAATCCGCCCACATCTAGTTCAAAGTCTTTCCCTATCCAGATGATGGAATGAACCGTGCTCTCTATGTTGAAAGATAGATAAAAAGTTTAAGAAGTATGACTTAAACCTGTATATCTAGGCCACAAAACAGTCCCCATCTGCTCTTAGGGCCAAAAGTCCAAAGAGAGCTCTGGAGCCAGAGAGAAAGAGATGAACCCAGTCAGGGATTAGGCAGGCACAACAGGTCCCAAGAGGATGTGAGATTACAAGAAAGAGGCGACACTGAGGGTAAACCTGCTCACATGTTTACATAACACCTCAGCTTATGCACTTCAGCGCAACTGTTTACCTCATTTTAATTAGAAATCAGTCTACTTTTATTTAGCAGAACAGGAAACAGAAAAGTAATCTGAAGTGAGCTCTGTCTTTTTGAAGGGGAAACTGTTTCTGCCGCAGTGAGTTCACCGTGCAGAGATTCATGTTCTCTGGCCTCAGCATATCAGCCAGTATTAAATCTCAGCTGTAACCTCCACTTTCACCCTGTCATCTGCAAAAAAGTCCTGACCTCAGGGAGTGTGAGGCTGGACAGGTGTGACTCAGCACCTGTTTGTTTGCCTCTGGGACTGAAGGGCAGTTCAGTTTTAAATCAAATTTATTTTTCTGGGGTTACATCTACAGCTTTACTTGGAGCGGTGGAAGGAAGGCTGTCAACAAGGAGGATTTGGAAAACATCCTATTGGGAGATTAACAAGGACAGAGCTCGGTTCTTTCAGTGCGTGCGTGCAGGAGGGAGGGAGGGAGGGAGGGACAGGACATCCCAGCATGTGGCAGATGGAGGAGGGAGGAGGGGGTGAGGAGCTTGTTGGAAGGGGCTGACATGTTTTTCATCTAAACCGGTGACAAAGTGAGGAGCAGTGGCCCCCTGGAGCAGCGGAGACCAGAGGCAGCACAGAGACAGGAGCAGGAGGAGCGCGCAGTCTGCAGCCGCTGGAGACTCAGCAACACATCGGGGCGGGGAACCGCGCACAACCGAGCCGCTTCCGACGGACCAGCGTTATTTTAACCCCGCGAACAGGTGAGAGGGGAGCGCAGATCGGCTGGGATTGATTTTATTTAACGACTGACCATGAGATTAGGAATTAAAAGCCAATAATCTACATCACTATTAAAAATATAGGGGAAGGAAAGGGAGGAATATGCGCATTTAAAGGTCATTAAAGGGGTCACAAAGTCACTAATGAAAAGCACTTTTGGATGTTTAAGTTGCAGCTTTTATAAATCGCCTTAACTTGAAAATCTAATTTTTAGCCCCAGTTACTCAGACCCCAGCAGATTGATGGAGACTCGTTTCTAACATTGCAGAACAGGTCAAGCAAATCCCAACAGATTCCTTTAAATTCCCCTGTTTATATTTCTTTCTCCAATCTTCCCACCTTGGGTCAGAAGCTTTACTACACTGTAAAAAATGTTTTTTCATTGAATTAATTCACATTTCCATAATTCATATTAAGAACAACTGATTTCTTTTTAAAAATATTGATTCAAATTTAACATAATATGTTTGATAAATATTAAATTTGTTTTGTTGAATAAAATGTAATTGTTTTATTAGGCTATAAATAAGGTCTATTTTTTAATTCTATATTTTGGTCAGGCTTTAAATCTCCATGTAGCTCCAAAAACCTTCCTGTTGAGTTGATTCCCCAAGTGTGAAACAACAAACACATGGAGGTCCAAGTCTGAGTTTATTTCAGTCACGTCAGACAGATTTGTTTAAGTAGTGCTATGTAGGTTAGTCTGCACACTGGCCAGGAGCTGCTCAGATTAAACAACTATGCATGTCTTCCATCTCTGCACCCTGCCTCACTGCCTGCTAATTAGGCCCACAATGTCTGGGTCAGCTGGGTGGCTGTTCTTGAATGGTTTCCCTCACAATGGAAAACCACAAGTACCACAGGCAATGCAAATCTATCACCTATTGCAGACATAAACTAGCTGATTGAATAAGAGAAATTCCTTAGGACAAGAAAATTTGTCATTACCAAATAGGTCATTTTTTGTTGTTTTGTTGTTTTTCAACAAAGCATTTGCACTTAGGGCACCATAATCACCCAAAGCACTGCTCTAAGTAAATATTTTGTATTTCTTCCTTAATTAAGGTGGATCTGATTCCAAAGAGGGATACAATTTAGAGTTTTCACAA